CTGACGCAACAATATTAATGGCTTAGTATTTTCCAAGAACAATTATTTCTTACTGTTAAATAATAATTATAAAAATTTAAAGAAATTTAGAAAATTGAATTATTTATGTAGATTCATAAATGTCTTATTCGAGAAAGATAGTTTTGTACTTTTCTCAAACTTTTCTTGAGTTTAATGATATTAATATATTTTATAGATTTTTTCACAAATTCTGCATATTTAATGTAGAAATTATTTTACAAAATGGTGTAATTAGGTGAGAATGAAAAAAAAACTAAATAAGGCTGTGAGCTTGGTGTTATCCTCATTTGAACTTGCTTTCACTATTGCATTTTATAGCTGGACATGGCCTAGTGGTCAATCAACTCCCTGTATTTGATTAGGATAGCCTAAGAGTTGAGGATTAGTGCCATTGGCTGTCTGCATTTCCTCTAGTTTATTAGTTTATATGGAACAAACTTGTATTTTGGAGGTTATCACATCGAAGAGTGTTAGTGCATTTTTTTCTGACATCATTACATACCGAGCAGCCCATTCATTCCTGCTTCCATGTACTCACAAATAAAGTACATTAACTTCAACACCACAAAAGGTAAAACTAGTCACATAATGCTATATCAGGAAGCATCCTTTTTTAATGGTGTAATTAGGCTGAAAGGTGTTAAAATTCCAAAAACATCTAATCCTCACATGAATATGTTATAGATTTGATATTAGCTCATATTTGTAACTGCAGTACAACACATACCAAGCTTCTTATAGGTTCTAAATAGTAAGAGATTTGTTCACAGCATTTACCAGGTTCATCCGGTGAGAAACGATAACTTAATAATGCCAGGTAAACCTGGTGAAACATTGTAAACAAAATACAATTTTACCACGTACAACCGATAAAAAAAAACTTGTGTGAATTTTAAATATCATATCTCTCTCTAATATTCAATTATTAACTTTATTTTTTGTTGTTATATAGGATGATCCATTTGGACGTTTCTTCATCAACTCTGGACCTACAGGTATGCACCAATAACTCTGAATGTGAGAATTGTGGAATACGTTTTGATGAGAAAAGTTAATGTTTGTGTTATTTCTAATCTTTTTTTTTCTGTTCCTGTCGAATTCTTCAGAAATTAAAAAAGTAAGAAGAACATCATAATACAGGCTACAAGCTTGCAAAAAAGAATTCACTGAATTCACAAGTTTTGTAAAAAAAAAAGGTGTAATTATATTTTTGTAATCTTATCATGGGTGGCTAACTTAATCAAAATAGAGAAAGTTAACTGTGATTAATTGTTTGTTTGTGAGAATGGTACAGATACACTACAACACTGAAAGTTACAACATAATAATAGAGAGAGCTGGAAGACTGTCCTTATAAACAAACTAAGCCTTGTTTTTTATTTTAAAGCATTATGCTTCTCTCCAATCTTCACTTCTCATTTCTAATTTATTGATACCTGTAATTAATAAGGTGGTAGGCTAATCCAGTAAATTTATGTCTAGAGGAAGTTTGTTTTGAAATAATTTATTTTCCCTTCATTCACTGTAAGTAATTATTAGCATCCAAGGATAAAAAGAATTATTAGTCTTTAGAAGAAAAGTGACATGCTGAGAAATATGAAGTTGTTTAAGATTCTACTCATTTAAGAAATATATTTTTAATACAATAATTGCTTCAATTTGTAACATTGTCTCTGCTGAACATAATTTCTGATTTAATTGTATTAATTGTCTTACAAAAAAGTAAATTAAAAACCTTCTTTACAATTATTTCACACACAATCTTAACATAATGATAGTTCATACAGTTTTTATAAAATGTCTGTCAGAGAAGTAGTGCAAAGTTTAAATAATTTCAAAAACTACTTGTGGAAAATTATTCCCCAACATTTAGAAAAAATGTGTTCAAATGATATGTGTTTTATACTGTGACATTAATATACATGTAGTTAGATGATACTGATATCTTTTATGTAAACATTAACACTAAATTTAATGTAACAGTGACATTAATTTACATGTAGTTAGATGAGACTGATATCTTGTGTAAATGTCAACATTTCACATCCAAGGTGCATGAATTACTTGTTCAATTAAACAAATCATATAATCATCAAAAGCATGTGATTTTAATTTATAAGCATTTGTTTCATAGAATGAGACAACTGTTTATATCAACCATTTCATTTTTCTTTTCATAGTTGCTTTAATAATGTTAATTAATTTGTGTTCTAAATGTTTCAGATTCTTTGGATATTTTTGACTTAAACAGTAGTAGTTCATCTATAACTACAGACAGCAAGGTAACAATTTATTCTGTAACATTAAATAGTGTATTTAATGAAGTAATAAGTCTTGTACAGGAAGGTCTTATTTGCACATTTACAGTATTGAAAGTAGTGATCATATTGGAGTCAAACAATGAGAAAGTGCAACTATATGCTTAATTTGTGACTAGTGCAGTAAACACTAAACGAAAGCAGATAGGTTGGACAATTCATTAGCATTTTGAATTTGCTTTAAATCAATCAGTACACTTGGTTATTTATAAGTTTATCAATGTATAATTGTGAAATTTTGTTCCAAAAGTCCTGTATTATTCCCCACACTTCAGCCAAGTTATTTGGTCAACATTTCACCTCAGTTTCCGTATAAGTGTGTACAGCCTTTATACTATTCATATTGGGACTTTGTGCAGCCAAACCATGGTTGGCAGTGTTCTATTAGCCTTTTTTTTTCTTTTCTTTCAATATCATTTCACCATATTTCTGCATGATTAGGGTCACTGTCTTGCTGATAAAAGGATATGAATCTGCTGTACCTATCAGCAGTTAGGGTGCTATAAATTTTATGTAAATCTCCAACACCATTGGCTGAGATGCAGTTCATGCTTCGCTGTATATGTTGACCATAATCCTGTTCTTCTTTTTGCTTATGAACAAACTAATTTTAATTGTTCCCAAACACTCTCACTTTGGATTTGTCTGTAAAGAGAACCCTCCTCCAAACTCTTCGCATCTCATTCTTTGATGACCAATGGCAATTGAAGACTCTTAGTTTGTATTTTGCATTCCAAAGCACTTTGGTTATCAAGTTTCTTGTATTATTTCCCTTCATGTAAGAATGTAGCAAATTCTAAAAAGTGAAGTGTCACTAGAGTTATACCTGAAGAAGATAGATGTGATCACTTACAAGTTTGTGTGGCTGAACTCTATGTTTGAACTAATGTTTTGTACTAGTGCATGATTTTATTGTTAATGTTATTAAGTTTGTATTTATTGAATATGATGGGTTAGAAATTTTTTGTTTCAAAGCTGTGTTCTGTTACTTCAGCAACATCCTAACCCATTTGGAACTGATCTGTTCAGTCTCTCTTCTGGGTCAATGGAACCGGAGAGTCTCATTCCTGCTCTTCCTCCAAGAAAATCTAAAGCCCCACCTCCCCGACCAGCCCCACCTAAACATAGCGTTAGTACTTCTGTGACAACAGCGTCCACCCAGCAAGCAGACATTCGGAATTCCTCTTTTACTCCAACATCAATTTTCCAGGATGCAGACTACATGGGAGTTCTTTCTGACCCATTTGATTCTGAAGAGAAGCCCTCTAAAAATATCACTAGCTCTCAGTTGGATCTGTTTGATCCATTTGCTACCGGAAGTGACCCATTCTCAAACTCCACTGATGCCCAAGATGAACTTGCCAGTTTTGCTGACTTTGATAAGATAAATCCATTAAAGGAGCTTTCTCCCTAGTTAATTATCTATAATAAAACAGTACTATGAGAATTAACTGTTGAAAAAAGTGCAAAATGTTGTTATAGAAGTAACTTGTGTGGTAATAATTATATGTTTCCATAGAAACAGTGGACAACAATAGCATGTTGCTATAGAAGCAACTTGTTTGACAATAATTGTCTGTTTCCATAGAAACAGTGGACAACAATAGCATGTTGCTATAGAAGCAACTTATTTGACAATAATTGTCTGTTTCCATAGAAACATTAGACAACAATAGCATGTTGCTATAGAAGCAACTTGTTTGACAATAATTGTCTGTTTCCATAGAAACATTAGACAACAATAGCATGTTGCTATAGAAGCAACTTGTTGGGCAATAATTATCTGTTTCCAAAGGAAGATAAGACAACAAAACCAAAACATTAAGCCATAACAGCATGCTGCTAATGAATGGGAAATTTTAGACAATTCAAGTTGCCAAAGGACAATAGTAACTCGTGTTAAAATGTCATTTTTTTTTTTCACTTACTTAAATAGCAAGCAACTGCTTTCATATTTGACTTATTTTTCAATTTACTGTTCAGTTTTAATTTTATATTGTAACCACATTGGTGTGACTTAACCATTTAATAAATAATTATAGTAACCTTTAAGGTGATTTATAATCTGTCGAAGTGTGGAAATGTTTTTGTTTCTCTTCCAAAAGTGATAATTCTTGATTTTATTTACACCAGAAGATTAGATATCTCTTCAAAGTTTGTACACAAGATTATGTAATTTATTAAGAAATTATAAACTGCTTGTTATTACACATCTTCAGGTTTACATTTTTGTTGTACTCGTTACATTACAGGGTTCATTTTTATTGAAAGAGATTTAGATTTAGTTTGAGCGCATCCTAGTCGAGATTTAATTGAGTTCAAACTAAAGTTTTAATTCTCTTGCCTTTGATAAACGTCAGCTGTCATTAATCAAGAAAATAAATTAAATTTGTAGGGGATTTTGTTTATGGTCATGTCCACATTGAAAGTGAAGCGTATGATTCCACGATGAAAGATTTCAGTAGTGTGTCAGTATTTTTTATGAATTAATATAAACTTCACAGGTGTTTCTGAATTGCCATTTGATCTTTCAATCTTACTAAATTGTATGTATTACTGGGTTCAAGTTAACGAATAGCTTTCATATTTAAATATGCCTTTTTATGTACAGCTAGAACTGTTAAATTGGGGCTTCTAGGTTAAGCCAAATATCTTTGTAAAAAATTTTCGGAAAATTATATGCAAAATCCCCTGAAAGCTATTCATTAACTTGAACCCAGTAATACATACAATTTAGTAAGATTGAAAGATCAAATGGCAATTCAGAAACACCTGTGAAGTTTATAATAATTCATAAAAAATACTGACACACTACTGAAATCTTTCATCGTGGAATCATACGCTTCACTTTCAATGTGGACATGACCATAAACAAAATCCCCTGGTATTCTAATAATTATGTAAGAAATATATAATATGTTTGTGTTCTCTATGACTTTTGTGTAAGTGTGGTGTAGCCCTTAACAAATGTTTAGATGTGTACTGAAATTATGTAAAGAGTGCTTTGATTGTTAGTATTTTTAATATATAAATGAAACATTATAGAATATTTATTCTAGTACATATCATATACATATAACTAGTTTTCTTATATCTAGAGAGAATCTATTTAATATATTCAAATCTAATTGGTACTATTGTTAAGTCTGAACATATTTGATCAAGTAGCTAATATACATATATTTTATTATATGGCCATTTTAATCAATACTTCATTTAACTACTGTGTTCATTTAAATCTATCTCAGTCTGTCCTTTATAGTTTACTTGAAAAATGAATAACATTCTGTACGAGAAAGGTTTGTTCTCATGATTTTCTTTGTGTATAGAGTATTTTTTGTTCTTTATGACAAAGACTTATCCTAGTACGAGACTAACAGACATACCCAACAGACTTTTTTTAATAAGGGCTTCCTTTGCCATTTGTTATGACTTGGAGATAACTTTCTGGGCTCCACGTTGAGTCTGTTATCAGATCTGAAAAATAATCTAAAACAAGAAAAAACAGCAGCAGAAGTTTATAATAAATTTGTGTGGAACAACCTGTCTAAATCCACCTTAAAAATGATGTCCAATAAAATCTCAAGCAAGTATTTTTGTCAATATAACGATTCATAAAACAGAGAACTTGTACAGTATTCTACTCCATTAATCGGACAAAAACTAGCTTAGCTCCATCCCTGTCTTACTTTTGTATTTTCAGTCTTAGTTAAGGTTCGCAGCAGTAATTCACTCGCCGGGATTTTATCTTCAATACATCAAGCTATACTTTCACCTCCCATTATGAATAAACAAAATAGCTTGACATTATTCTGTTGTCATGGTTACTAGCCTGTAGTATACACCGAAAGATGTAGGATATAAAATAGTTAACAGTTGATTAAAATTGCTACAGCCTACGCTCCACTCCTCAGATTTTAACTGTTCGTTTTCCAACTCGGGTGTACATATCGGATCCAGTAGCTGTTATCAGCTGAAGTTTTTCCTATCATTAAATATCAACCCACCCACCTAGTTCAATGGCTGAAAACTTTTTAATAGATATGAAGACCAAGTTTTTAAACCAGATCTTTTGACCATTACATGACGCATTATCTTGGTAAACATATAGGACATGAAGTACATGTTTGTTTCTTTTTAATTAGAAACATAACCTTTAATTTAAAGGTAAGTACAGGGGCATGCACAAGTAGAGGGTGCTGTCTGCCTGTTCAGTAGTCAATACTAGATATAATTAATTAATTATTGATTAATTATTGTGTTTGCACATTCCATTATCATTTAAGGTTCAGATACTATCCCCCTTCATGGGGGGGGGGGGAGGACTACATTCTTGTCCACTCCCCTGAGTTTGAGTAGCATCTTCACTTAATTAAAGGCTATATCCAGCATAGAATTGAAATTATGTTATGCAACTATAAGTACTGATTAATCTTAACTATGCAAATAGTACTATCTAGTTATATTTTAAGGATGTGTCTTTGGGATTCAACTTCCTGTTATTAAAGTGATATATTCCATTAAATATAAAATGTGTGTTACTGTATTTGGGATAATTTTATTTTGTTTTGGTTGTTTTTTTTTTCACAAGTACATTTAAAAATTTAAGTATTTACAGCAGGATTAACTATGTTTGTCCCGACACTTTTTTTTTTCCATTTTAACTTGGGTTTCTAAGGTTTTTTGTGCAGTGTTTGATTTTACTTAATCACTAAATGGAAAAAAATGTAAATGTTTCATTTCAAAATACTTTATTTGTATATAAGTTATAAATAAAAATCACTTTAATGCAGGTTTATGTTTCCACGTGTTATAAATGGAATATACAAAGAGTTCAAATATTGCAAAAGAATAAAGTTTAAATTTCTGTAAGTTCTGGATATCTGCATACTTGTTCTGGATGTAGTGTGGCTCCCCCACTAGGGTGCCAATCGTCTATCGACACATCCGTGATCTATGCAGATGCTTTCTGTATGGATAATGCCCTCACCAGCCCCTCCACCTTATCAATGTGGGATTCTAGCTGTAGTGTGAGAGAACGTAAGTTTGTTTTGAAAGTTAACATTTTCTTATATCAAAAATGTATTTCCAATAATACTTACCTCCTCTCACACTCTTCCACCCCACTAAGAGCTGGTGTTAGAAACTACAGATTGAGTCAGTCTCATAAAAGTGATAACATTATCCGAATGAGGTGCTTATATACAGTACCAGGATAGAGGGCACATTGATGTAGGTGGGGAGTGTCTGAGACAAATATTTTCAAGGGCAATTGAGTGGGGTATAAAAGACTGGAGCAAGCAAGAAAAAATCAGAGCAATGCTTAGATGGGTAAAGGAAGAAACCCTGGCAGTTGAGTAATAGCTATAAGTGTCAGCGAAGGTATTATTGGAAATACATTTTCAATTTAAGAAAATGTTATCTTTCTAACCACAAGCATGTATCAGATTTTTTTTTTACATTTTAATTTACTTTTATGGCCAAACCTTGCATGGTTTTCAGTATAATTGTAAAGTAAACATTGAGTTGATAGACATCTTTGGAAATAAACATGTAAAAAAGAAAAACATAAATAATTTCAGACTACATGGCTTGATTTTACTTGTGTGAAAGAATATCAGTGTCAGTAAAATTGAATCGGAATTCCAGGCTTTCACACAATTACCGATTAAACAAAGTGAACCCAACTGTCTTTCTTTTAGTACCTATAAAAGCTGTCAAATAATCCAGTTAAACTGGCATGAAAGGAATATGAGGAAGTCCAATGAAGAGCTAGGAATCATTGGTATCAGATGCTTAAAAAAAATGGGAATTTATGTACTTGAAATTTAAAAATTCCAATCTAGATATGTATGTCCAACACATGGTAGTAGCAAGACTAATCTGTCAAAACTACTTAATTCCAACACTAGAGGACAGTTGTGAAGATTTTTAAGCTGCAGAATAGAAAACCTGTTTTATTTTATTTCTCGGGGACACAAAAAAAACACACCATAAATTGTCTCATAGGTTTGAATGAACAATGTTAAATACTCAAAAATCAGTTTCTTAGTGTGGAAATCTTACCATTTTTGTCCGTAAAGGGAGCTCGAGTGCAAAGCAAAGTTGATGCAGAGATAGGTAACACTTTCAGCAGTGAAAACACAATGATATCTACCTCAGATTTCTAAATTTTCAATCTTTTAAATATTACTTTGAATTATCTTCCGGCAAAAGAAGATCATGTTGTACAGGTATCTCCCTTCCCATCTTGCCGATATAAACCAATCATAGTAATCCTGCAGAAGTTGAAGACCTGCTTGCGTCACCTTATAGCCATCTGCAGACCAGTGGTAAGTTTTTCTTTTTTTAGAAAAGATGGTTTCAATATTTCAAATAAACTGAATGTTTGTTTCATGTTAACTGTACTAATAAGAAACTACAAATTTAATGGGACGTTTTATTAGTTGTGAGCTCAATACTTTTGACTCGTAGTTGGAAAGTTGTAAGCTGGCCCCCATCATGCTGTTGTGTCTTTAAGGTTACTTGTTCCATTCTAATCAGCTATATGATGGATGAAAGTTAACCTGCAATAGACTGAAAACCCGTCCGGGAAAAGTTGCGTTACATTTCTCATCTAGTAGTGTCACTTGAAATCGGAACTTGGAACCAAAGGCAAGGATTTAATACGTCAACAATTGAGTGGTTGTCACAGTATTAACAAGTTTCACATTATTAACTAAGTAAACATTAAGTCATGTTGCTGTCTTTTTATCATACAAAGATCAAGTGGTTGACAGTTTCCTTTTTTGTGTCCAGTTTCTGAAGTCTTAGTGATTATTTAAATCTTTTTGAATATAAATTGACAAAATTTTAATGGTTGAAAGAGGCAAA